GTCAAATATATTACAAAACTCTCAGGTATTTATAGTTTTTATTAAAAGTGAAATCATCATTTTATTCATCTAACCCGCATACAGTAGTTTTTAGTACTTTTTTAATAGGGAAGCTACATGTCATGATTCTGGAATGTTCTTTCAAAAAATTACTGGATGGAATACCTTCTATTCCTACTGAGCTTCTTAGAGCTTCCTCGAATTCACCTGTGGACCGTCCTCACACATATTTAATATCAAAAATGTCTAAAATGAACTGAATTAAAATGTTAAAAACACCATTGGATGCCAACTCAGTGGTCTAGAGGTGGAATGATGGATGCGAACTGTTCACTAGTCCCATACTAGATTGGAACGGCCGTCCAGTGTATCCAGGTTTTTAATGGTGATCTTATATTCATCCATTCATGATATCAATCTGAATTCGTAAACTGTATATGTTATTTCCTTTCTTGAATTGACAATTTAAGAAATCAATAAAATTTATCTAATGATCAGCGCCTAATGCGAAACTGATATGTCCTGAATTCGAATCTCACGGGGTACGGGATCGTGGATGCGCACTACTGAGGAGTCCCATTTTAGAGTGGAACGGCCATTCAGTGCTCCCAGGTTTTCCATGGTGGTCTAGCTTCAATCAATGAGATTAAATAACTAACAATATAAGGATAATACAAAATGAATAGAAATTTATATAATGCTTATACATAGATCATCATCGGTTGCCAGGTTAGAATTCTTAAATCAACTCGAAAATAACAATCTAATTAGTAACTAAATAATAAACTCAATAAACTAACAATCATTTCATAGAATTAATCTAACCTTTGATGCTGAAGGAACAAGTGATGCCAATGATGAACCTGTATTTTTACACGATGCAAATATTATTGTTTCAGGAATCTTAGGATTCATTAATTCTGTTGTATTATGCCCAACTAAATGTAACAATATATAGAATGAGTAAAACAAAGAGAAAATGTTATAATATATTCAAAACCTAATTACTGGTAGATGGACTAACAACTAGATTCATGTTTTAAAAGAGTCCAAACCAGTATTTATCAGTTGAATAATGTAAATTGTAATAAACGTTTAGTTTAGTTACTTACTTACGCTTATTATTTCCACTGGAGTATAGGCTGTCGACCAGCATTCTCCAATCCACTCTGTCCTGAGCCTTCCGTTCCAGTTCTATCCGATTGTTGTTCATTTTTCTCATGCCTGTCTCTATTTCTCGGCGTAATTTGTTCTTTGATCCTCCTCTTCTCACTTGGTCTTGAGGATTCTAAGTGAGAGCTTGCCTTATGACGCAGTTGGGTGTTTTCCTCAATGTGTGTTCTATTCACTTTCAGCACTTCTTCCTGATTTCTTCCTCCACTAGAATCTGGTTTGTTCTCTCCCACAGTAGGTTGTTGCTGCTGATGTCTGACCAACGGATCAATGAATAACTATCTCACTTTCAATATGATAGGACTTTGACAGTTACAAAGTCATATCAGAACTTCAAGAATTCAGTATAAATCAGTGTTTTAAATGTAGCGTGATCATTAAATGACTTAAAAATAACCTGAGTTTAATCTCGTTTACAATCGTATTTGCGTATTGATTATTAGATCCAAACTAGGACGAAGTAGCTGTGTAATACTCCCCATTCATCAGTGGTTCTTTAATTCATCGGAATTTGTTACGAAACCCCTTACGACATTAATATGCTGGAGAAGGTAAGTTGTGATTGGTCAAAGGGTGAAAGTTGACATATCTAGCCATTCTAATTATATGAAACTATTTTATGTATAAAGTTAATTCACTTGGATTTTACCTTGTGTTGACTGTTCTCTACTTCATATCCATAATCTATAGTCTATTCTAATCTAGTTCTCAATCGTCCTTTGAATAAATGAGTTGTACGTATAATGTGATATTGTTTTATGATCATGTATTGTGATCTAGTGTTCAGTCTATTACCAATAGTATTGAAGTGACGTAATATCAATTTGTATTGTTTAGTTTCACTGAAATCTATTCACTTTGGCTATAACAAACTATGGTGTATGCTACTTATGTCTGTCAATATAAGTAGTATGTAACACCAACCAAACGAAGAACACCAATCCAATCATTCTTGATGGTGAAACTCTGGAAGATCTAGAATGCTTCACATAACTGGGAAGCATCAGATGCAGACGTAAAGGCGAGGATTGGCAAAGCAATGACAGCATTCCTACATTTGAACAACATATGGAACTCAAAACAACCATCTGTCAACCAATATCAAAGTCACAATCTTCAATACGAACGTCAACATAATCAGTTCTACTGTACGGAATTCAGACTTCGAGAACTACTACAACCATCATCAAACATGTACAAGTATTTATAAATAGCTGTCTACGCAAGATACTCAACATCCATTGGTCGGATACCATCAGCAACAGCATTTTGTGGGAGAGAACAAACCAGCTTCCAGTTGAAGAGGAAATTAGGAAAAGACGATGGAAATGGATAGGACATACATTATGCAAATCATCAAACTGCATCACGAAGCAAACCCTAACTTGGAATCCTGAAGGAAGGTGGAAAAGAGGAAGGCCAAAGAACATATTACTTTGGGATAATAGAAGCAGATATGAAAAAGATGAATAAGAACTGGAAGGAGCTGGAAAGGATTGTCCATGACAGGGTTGGATGTAGAATGTTGGTGAGCGGCCTATGCTCCTTCATGAGGAGTAACAGGCGTAAGTAAGTAAGTAAGTTGCAAATGAAGCATTTAATGTGTGGTTCACATATTTTATGGAGATATTTGGTAATTTTATATCGGACAATAGATTGATTGTCCACAACTGAGTGTTCGTCTATTACACAACAACAACAACAACAACAACAACAACAACAACAACTACTACTACTACTACTACTACTACTACTACTACTACTACTACTACTACTACTACTACTACTACTACTACTACTACTACTACTACTACTACTACTACTACTACTACTACTACTACTACTACTGCTACTATGTTGACTTAAATCAGTATCTTTGTGGTCTTTAAAATATGGCAATGTCATGTGATTTACACCTATTCTTATTGATTATTCTAACACGCAAAACAATATGTACCGTGTGATATTACACGTTTACTTATCTTTGATATCTAAACACTCTGTTCCACGGTTCTGTTGTCCTCACCTCTTTTGCTCACATGAGTTTGGCATTAGGGAAGTTATCAATTTATTCAATCACACTAGATCCAGTTTTCGCATAAGAAAGATCTCAAAATCATTCATAACTTGGTATTGCCGTACTGTCTCAAACGATATTCGACTATAACTTGATAATGACAGATTTGGTAACAATCCTTGTTTATAAAAGCAGTAGAGTTTCTCAATATTTTTGATACCAGATGATTGAAACGAGTCGTTAGCGTATACCCTGAACTGAGTTCTAGTTATATATATATAGACTATATATATACATATATATCAACAAGACATATGTACGATGTTCAGAAAATCTATGCTCCTCATAAGATTCAGAACCTTGTCAATTTATTGGTTGTGATCAATCTGTAATACTAAGACATCCAAAGTTCAATTACTTAACATGAAAACGTAATACGTGAGCTATGGATTAACTCTGACTAATGAGCAAATTCTTTTTTTCAAATTAATTTCAAGAAATCGACCAGTACTACTAAAGACTAAACAACTAAGATTTTGGATAGTTGAGATCATAAGTCAATTGAAGCTAGAACACCATCGAAAACCTGAAAGCATTGGACGGCCGTTTTACTCTAGTATGGGACTCCTCAACAGTGTGCATCCACGATACCGCACCGCGAAATTCGAATTCAGGAGTTACTGGTCTTGCACATGAACGCTTAACTTTTAGACCACTGAACCGGCCGACATCCAGAGATGTTAATGTCTAACTTCAACCAATCCACGAAGATGTGTGACACATCCACCATTGTCATCAATGAGTCACTATCTCACAACAAACCCGGTTAAACTTTACTGGTCAGTACTTCTCATTAGAATTGCAAGAGATACCCCTTGAAGCGAGTTACTAGTGAGCATATGTTAATTAATATCAGAAGGGGTTTCTGTGGATATTATAGTAATCTTAACATTTGAAATCATGAGTCAATTGAAGCTAGACCACCATCAAAAACCTGAAAGCATTGGACGGCCATTCCACTCTAGTATGGGACTCCTCAACAGTGTGCATACATGACCTTACCTCGCAAGATTCGAACCCCGGATCTATTGATCTTGCACGCGAATACTTAACCCCTAGACCACTAAACCTGTCGACATTCAACGATATTAATGTTTAACTTCAACGAATCCATAAAATTCAAGCGAAACATTCACCGACTTAATAGTCTATAACGTTTCAGCGTTCATGTACAAGATCAATACGTCCTGAATTCAACTCTCACAAGATAGGATCATCGATATGCACTATTGAAGAATTCTATCAATAGAATAATTTATCAATAACTTACTAATCAATCATTACTTACTTTGTTCTTTTTTCTCTTTATTCATTTCTTTATTTTTTTCTATTCCTATAAATCATTAAATTGAAATGGGTTTTTTTTATTACCTTTTTTTTCTTTCGATTTTTCTTTATTGATTATTGATTTATTGATTGAGATATCATGAGATTCCAGTTTTTCTATTATTTCATTTTGTTCCATTTTGATAGATTTCTCATTTCGTTTTATAACATCATCAACTCTTTCCCAATCTAATAAATAATCACTAAGGTAATACCATAATTGATCTATGGAATGTTTCCTTTATAAAGACAAAAGGAAGGAGGGTATAGATAGATATAGATATAGATATAACTATTACTTGATTACAATAGTATGTTTAATCCATCCAGTTAAACATTGTATTGTACTGAAATCCCCTATTTCTGTATTGGTACATGTATTTCTACAACTATAATAATGATTGATTATTGATTCAATCAATGATTACTCCATAGAGGCTATTTTCAATAAAGCTTTTGTTAATAACATTGGCCATAATTCATATGATTGTTTACTTTGTGGAAGTAATGGTTTATTATTTTCATCAAATGGTATTGAATCATCAATAATGATTTTACGCCAACAACCCTAGAAATAACAAAAGAATGAATTAGTTTGATAGTTCATTTTGAAATATTGATAGAGATAATAATAGAATAATAGAATATAGTTGTGTGATATATACTACTGATATCGATAGATATAAGTAGTTTTAATGGTTGAAATCATGAATCAATTAAAATTAAACCAATATTGTATGAATTGAAAACTTTCAGAACTACGAAAGCCATCATCCAGACGATACAGGTGGTTATTAACAGTTGTCTATGCAAAATACATCGGATCCGTTGGCTGAACATTATTAGCAACAACCAACTGTGGGAAAGAACAAACTAGATTCCAGTGGAGGAAGAAATTGCTGGAAGTGGATAGGACACACATTGAGAAAAGCACTAAACTAAGTTACAAGACAAGCCCTCACATGGAATCCTCAAGGCCGAATGAGAAGAGGAAGACCGGAGAACACATTACGCCGGGAAATGGAAATAGACATGAGAAAAATGAACAAGAATTGGATGGAACTAGAAAAGAAGGCCGAGGGCAGAGTGTGTTGAAGATTGTTGGTCGGCGGCCTATGCTCCATTAGGAGTAACAGGCGTAAGTAAGTAAGTAATATTGAAAACCTAGTTTCAAAATGTATTTCCTGAAGTTCTAGTGAGAAATAGTGACCAGTGAAGTTTAATCGGGTATGTTGTGAGTTAGTAATTCATTGATGACAATGGTGGATATGTGGCTCAATTTCGTAGATTAGTTGAAATTAGATATTAACATCGTTGAATGCCGGTCGGCTTAATGGTCTAGAGCTTAATCGTTGATGCGTGAGATGGGATCGTGGATGTGCACTGTTGAGGAGTCCCACAATAGGACGAAATGGCTGTCCAGTGCTTCCAGGCTGTCCATGATGGTCTAACTTCAATCGACTCATAATCTCAGCTCTTGCAATTACTATTATATCTACAAAAACTCCTTCTGATATAACTAGTATGTATCACCAATCGAAAGTGGAATGCCTGGAGGCAGAAGGTTAAGAAGATCGATGAGAACCGAGCGTGAACAGAGAATGATTAATGTGGAAACGAAGTAAGTATCAAGTCGGAGATAGTTAATTGACATTTTGCAAAAAAGCTATTCACTGTATAGTTCTCAGATTTTACTAGGTGATTTTATATCTTTGTGTTCAAATGCATTCGATCGTCCCCACTTGTGTTCTTGTTCACTACTTTTGAATACAAAATTACAAAATCTCTTAGTAAAATCTTAGAACTATACAGTGAATAATTCATTTGTAAAATGTCCATTAATTGTCTCAGACATCATCGTTCTTTCGTTTCCACACCAATCACTCTTTACTCTCGTTCTCTTTTCTTTGATCTTCTTAACCTTCTGCCACTAGGCATTTCACTTTTGATTGATGATACATACTACTTATATCTGCCTATATCAGTAGCATATACCACAATATGACCAAACAAAATATTCTAGAAGTTGCCGATGAACCCCAAAATATAAAAAGTTAATATTAATTCCAGTCAGATATATCAATCTGTCATCTGTAATTGCTTAACTTTAATATTATAAAAAAGAGGAATTGAATCTAAAAGCTCATCACATCATATTCATTTCATCTTTTACTGTTTTTACAAGTAGAAATATGTACCAATGATGATAAGCTAGAAAACTTGACGATTATTATCACCTGATGTGTGTGAGGGCTGGGATACTGTCCGAGTACCCTGACCGAAAAAGGTGGTTTACTTATGGCCCCACACTCGGAGACTTCGACCTAGACGTCTGGTCCCTAAGGCAGTGGAGCAACCTAAGGAGATGCAGTTTCATGGTAACCGGTGACAAATAATTGGTTTATGCGCCATTTTTTCCTTCAGGATCTTGGAGTTCATTGGTTTGGAATCGCGGTTTTCCAACTACCCTATGTAGATCTTTCGTGTCCACCAACCCGATTAAAGCTCCGGATATTCCACTTTTATCCTCTCAATTTCATAAATAGCACCCCTGTCTCAAGAAGGCAGTGAGTAGGATTACCCTGATAATGACTATATACGCGTGGCTATGTGAGAGCATTTCGAAAAGGATACCGAACTCTCCCCACCCTCGACCGTACCAAAGCATTTGATTTACATCAAACACTATACATTGTTATTAATCCGCCATCGTTACTATTTCTAGTCTATCAGTTTATATGTAGCTCTCCTATCGCATACACACGAACAAATGCAGATAAAGACAGTCAGTGTAGCAGCAGTCTCTGCATCACTAAAACTCAGCATACACAAAGGGAAAACAAAGGTCCTCAAATTTAAAACGAAGAACACCGATCCAATCACCCTTGATGGTGAAACTCTAGAAGATGTAGAATACTTCACATAACTGGGAAGCATCAGATGCAGACATAGAGGCGAGGATTGGCAAAGCAATGACAGCATTCCTACATTTGAACAACATATGGAACTCAAAACAACCATCTGTCAACCAATATCAAAGTCACAATCTTCAATACGAACGTCAACATAATCAGTTCTACTGTACGGAATTCAGACTTCGAGAACTACTACAACCATCATCAAACATCTACATGTATTTATAAATAGCTTTCTACGCAAGATACTCAACATCCATTGGCCGGATACCATCAGCAACAGCATTTTGTGGGAGAGAACAAACCAGCTTCCAGTTGAAGAGGAAATTAGGAAAATACGATGGAAATGGATAGGACATACATTATGCAAATCATCAAACTGCATCACGAAGTAAACCCTAACTTGGAATCCTGAAGGAAGGCGGAAAAGTGGAAGGCCAAAGAACACATTACTTTGGGAAATAGAAGCAGATATGAAAAGGATCAATAGGAATCGGGAGTAGCTGGAAAGGATTGTCCATGACAGGGTTGGAGTGAGAACGCTGGTGAGCGGCCTATGCTCCTTCAAGAAGAGTAACAGGCGTAAGTAAGTAAGTAAGTACTATTAAACATTAAATGCATTATTATTAAAACAGTATACAAAAAAAAGCCTATTATTCAACATACCATCCAATAAAGCTTGACAATATATTTTCCATAAGGATTATATTGTGGTGTATTATTATTATCTTTAGTAATTTTTGTCATGGCATAAATATGTTCCCATGGTTTCCATTCATAATTATAATTGGTTGAATGAGTTAAATTCATCATCATATTTGATTCATTGAACTCTGTCGGAGGAATAGATTCAGGAATTGGTGTTCTACATGATAACCATAAATTTTGTATATCACATATAATCCATCTTAATAACTAAAAATAATAATTTGGTTGTTGTCAAGGCTACAAATTTTGGCGCTTACTTCATTTTTAAATAAATGTTCATTATAATAGAGTAGATCAACATGATTTATAAATTCTGGATCATATACAACAGGTGCCTATAGTAAGAAATAAAGAATAAATGATAAATAGAATGGATAAATTGAATTTGAATCTAAATGTTGATGGAAATCAAGGATTCCTCCAAAGTGTGCATCTACTATCCTGCACCAGAAGAACTCGAACCCAGGACCTTCGATTTCGCTCATGAACGTCTAACTTCTAGACCAGTGAGCCGGTAACCAACGATGTTAAGGTCTAACTTCAATCGATTCATGAATGGCTGAGGTAGATACCTGTCTCTACATGACACCGATTGGACTCCACTAGTCACAGCTTCTCACTAGGAATCCAGGAAATCAACTCGGAGCCAGTTACTGGTGAACATATGATGAATCGATGGAAGTTAGATATTAACACCGTTGGACACCGGCTCAGTGGTTTAGAGGTTAAGGGTTCGCTCACGGGATCAAAGGTCATGGGTTCAAATACTGCGTGCGACATAGTGGATGAGCATTGCCTAGGAGTCCCGTACTAGGGTGAAACGGCCGTTCAGTGTTTCCATGTTTAACATCAATCAATTCATAATCTCAAACGAAAACTTTACAATCTCTACAGCCTTGTACTGATGAAAATCAGAGAGACTACAATTCATAGACGGACTAATAAAATATAAAATAACGACGAGTACAAAGTAGGTTATCTGATTCATGATTAATCTAACTGGTAAGAGAGAAAATATAACTGTATAGCAAGCTGTATTATCAAAGGTGAAATTAAGTTACTTCCGAAATGATCATGTTGATAGAAACAGCGTCAAATAGTCTGTAACACTGAGTTACTATAGATCCTTAACACTTAAAATTGAATTCATGTACAGATATGATGTGCTTTGTTTGTTTCCATTCCATACATTGACTTTCCTATTATCAAACTTGTAACCAAGGTTTCTGTCGGCATTAATGTTTTTAGTTGAGTTATAGATGGATATTGGAGTTGATTCTTTTTTTACTATCTAGCTCTTGTATAGATATATTCCCAATTTAAGTTGAACTTCACACTTAATACAACCAGGTACAAAGTGGACCCATATTATGCAGAGAACAAATGAGTTTCCAGTCGGGGGGATTAGAAAAATACGCTATAGGTGGATAGGAAACATTTTAAAAGAATCATTAAATTTCATCACAAAACAAGCCCTAACTGGGAATCCTCAAGTCAAAAGGAAAAGAGGTAGATCAAAAAGACTTGATGCATGGAATTGGTAGTAGATCTAGAAATCATGAATATCAGCTGGTCACAAGTAAAACAAAAGCCAAGAATAGAGTTAGCTAAACATCTCTGATTAGAAGCCTATGTCCAAGAGAAATAACAGGTTTAGATAAGTAAGTAAATAAGTACAATTCAAAGTGACAGGTTTTACTTGACAGTATGGTGAAAAACTATATTCATAGAATACAAACGATATCTGAAATTGAAGGAACATTATTACTTAATTAATTAATTAATTAACTACTTAATTACTTAATTACGCCGGTTACCACTCGTCAAGGAACATAGGTCAATCATCAGCCTTCTTCATCCAACTCTCTACTGGACAATCCTTTCCAGTTCTCTCAAGTTGCTATTCATTATCTTCATACCTGCTTCCAATTTCCGGTGTAGTGTGTTCTTCCGCCTTTCTCTTTTCCACTTCTCTTCAGAACTCCAAGCTAGTGCTTGCCTCCTGATGCAGTTTGGTGATTTCCACAATGTATTTCCTATCAACTTCCAACGTCTTTTCGTAATTTCCTCTTCAGATGGAAGTTAGTTTGTCCTCTCACAAAGCAGGTTGTTAATGATAGTATTCCTCAACAGACATTTAGTATCTTGCATAGACAACTGTTTATGAATGAATGAACTATTTGGATGCTAGTTGTGATAGATCTGCAAGTTTCAGCTCCATACAATAGAACTGTCTTGATTTCTTGTTGAAGATTCTGACTTTGATAACGGTTGAAAGTTGTTTTGAGTTCCATATGTTGTTCAGCTGTGGGAATGCTGTTCTTGGTTTGTCAATCCTTGACTTGTTGATCGATGATGGTTCACAGATACATGAAAGATTCCACATTATTCAATACTGAATTGAACTTGGAATATATACAGTCTTGTCAACCAGTCAGTCAGTCAGCAACAACGTAGAACTTAGTACGTACGTACGTACGACATCAGTTCCAGTTACCATATCACATTAGCACACACATACAATTGTCCAGTCAAATCCCATACTGTAGACGTAGTAAAAGTATAAGCAGTAATCAAAAAGATTAGGTTTGAAGATATTAGGTAAGGAGTATAATACAGTGAAATAAATTTCGAAGGAGAAAAAGAAAAAAAAGGGACATGAAGAATTCAGAAGATTATAATTTGTAAGAACATAAAACGTGGATCCACCTGCGTCATTGCAAATGATTTTCTACCATGTCATTCAAGGTCTATAACCATCGGTTGTTATCATCTCGTGGATCCCAATCAGGCAGTCTACACCTACCAATATGGCTCAGCGACGTGTCATTGACTTCATGAAGTTATGCCATGTTTTGGTTTGGTCGACTCTAGTTTTCTTCCAACCTACTACAACACTATAAAACATCGCTAGTCGGGGCAGTCGGTGGTTGGCCATACGTAACACATGTCTCAATGATCTCAATTGATTAAGTTTCACTATTTCATTAATTGATTTATCCTCCTCACCCATAAAGATGTTATATATTTATTTCCATATAAAATTTATCATTAATAATCAATCAGTTTCAATGGTTAAGATCATGTGTCAGTTGAAGCTAGACCATCATGGAAAACCTGGAAGCATTGAATGGTCGTTTTGTCCTATTGTTGGACTCCTCAGCAATGTGCATCCACAATATTGCCCCCTACGATTTGCACACTGCTAACGAGTCTCATAATAGGACGAAACAGTCGTCCATTGCTTCCAGGTTTACCATAGTGATCTAGCTTCAATTAACTCATGATCTTAACCATTGAAATTACTATAATATCCACAAAAACCCCTTCTGATAATAATCAATGAATTAGATTTACCTTTTCTGTAATAAATTCATTTGGTCTTTTCATACTAAATGGTATCATGGATGATGGATATAAAACTTGTGATTCTGGATCAATAAAATATGTAGATGATGATGATGATGATTGCTAAATAAAATCAATTAAAAGTACTTCAAGAAGAAGAAGAAAAAAAAGAATTTCCATAACATACAGCTGATGATTTACTCTTCTCTTTAGTTTTCTGTGATGAATCCCATTTTTCATTATTCACATCTTGATCATTCCATTCAGGCCATAATGGTATAGTTGTATCTCTTGGTGTAGATGATGATGGATTAGTTAATGTAATTCTAAATATGAATAAGTAATAAAAGAAAACAATAAATGTATTGTTAGAATAAGAATTTCAATGGTTAAGATTATGGAAAACCTAGAAGTAATGGATGAACGTTTCGTCCTATTGTGAGACTCTCAACAGTGCATGTCCACAATCTCACCTTCTGAAATTTGAACTGAGGACCTGTGAGTTTGGCACGCGAGTGCTTAACCACTAGACCACTGAACCGCATAGCAGTCAGTCAGTAACAACGTAGAAATTCGTACTTACATACATCAATTCGAGTTGCCATACCACATTAGCACAGAGATGCAGTTGTCGATTCAAATCCCATAGTGGTAGAGGTAGTAAAAGTATAGACAGTAATCGGAAAGATTAAGGTTTGAAGATATTATTCAAGGATTATAATCCAGTGAAATAAGTTTGGAAAAGGAAAAAAAGGAGACAAGGAGGATTCAGGAGATTAGAATTCGGGAGAACATAAAGAGTGGATGCACCTGCGTCATTGCAAACGGTTTTGAGCCATGTCATTCAGGGTCTCTAACCATCGGTTGCTATCATCTCGTGGTCCCCAACTAGGTAGTCTACACTAACCAACATGGTTCAGTCTACTTGTCAGTGATAAAAAAATATGAATAAAAGTATTACACTTCGTTGTATAATCATGTTTCATATTGTTAACTAATATAGAGATATATTTAGTAAATTCTAATGAACATTTATGATTAGTGGATTTTAATTATGTCAAATGTAAAGTTGGTAATTAGTCAATATTCGTAGGAAAATATGTAGTTCCCAGATGCCATGATACGGTCAAGAGTGGGGATAGTCAACTATTCCTCTCGAAATGCTCTCAAATGGCCGTGAGTATACAATCACTGTCAGGAAAGTCCTACTCACTGACTTCTCGTGGCATTAGATTTCTCTATGAAATTGAGAGGACAAAAAGAGAATGTCCGTCGCTTTAACCGAGTTGGTGACACGGAGGATACACCTTCAGGAATCGGTAAACCCTGATTCCAAATCAATGGTGTACATGAGCTCCAGGATCCTGAATGAACAAATGGTGTATGAACCAATTATTGGTCACCGGTTATCATGAAACTGTATCTCCTTAGGTTTCTGCACTGTCTTGTTGATCAGACCTTAAGGTCGAAGTCTCAGAGTATGGCGCCATAAGTAAACCACCTTTTTCGGTCAGGGTACCCGGACAGTATCCCAGCCCTCAAGGACATCGAACGATTTATGTGGCGCATATCTGTTTGATACCTTCATGCACCAATGCTTATGTGTTTAAATAATTAGGTAAACAAAAATTTGTAGATATTATAGTGATTTAATGCTTCAATTAAAGCTAGACCACCATGGGGAACCTGGAAGCACTGAACCGCCGTTTCATCACAGCATAGAACTTCCCAGCAGTGTGCATCCACGATTGGCTAAAGTTAGACATTATCACCATTGGATGCCAGATCAGTCATCTAGTGGTTAAGCGCTCGCGCGCGACACTGATAGGTACTGGGTTCGAGTCCAATGTGTGGGATCGTTGGTGCGCACTGATGACGAGTCCTATTCTAGAACAAAACGGTTATCCAGTATGTCCAAGTTTTCCATAATGGTCTAGCTTTAATTAACTCATGAATTTGAAAATTAAGTTACTTCTGTCTCTTCCTGGATAGCATAATCATCTCTAACTTTATATTGTGGAACAAGTGAAATATCACTGAGCCCTAGTCAAATCATCCGGCAGTTAAGTCACTGAATAGCAAACAAATCATCGATCCTCGCGTTGATCAATGACAATCAACGCTCATCAGTTGGTCGTACGCTATGGACTGTTCCATGCGACGGTGGTCTTACTTTCACTTTTATCTACTTTAACTAATATGTTTCTGTAATAAGGTCCTTTGTGTTGTACAATCTTCAAAGCTTCTATAGTACCTTGATACGACGAAGGTGTAATCAACGTAAGATGCTGACCGTGAGGTGTGACTCCGATGTTAGCTGGTTCATCACATCATTCTCATCTAACTCCAGTACACCTCAACCATTCGACATAGATCATCAACGTTGGTGATTTACAATATAATTCTTCAATAGCAAATGATATAGATTATTGATTTAATAAATTAAGGATAACCAATTCATTAAATGATTTACTTAACAATCAATAATCAATAATTAAATGTTCTCAGAAGGGGTATTGTGGAGATTCTAGTAATTTCAATAGCTGAAATCATGAATCAATCGAAGCTAAACCATCATCGAAAACCTGAAGCACTGGACGGCCGTTTCATCCAATTGTGGGACTCCTCAGCAGTGTGCATCCACAATCCCGCCTCGCAAGATTCCAACCCAGACCTATTGGTCTCGCGCGCGAACACTTAACCTCTAGACCACTGAGGTGGCCGGCATCCAATGGTGTTAATTTTTAACTTCAGCTAACTCACGAAATTAAGCGACACATTCACCATTGTCTTCAGTGAGTTACTATCTCACAACAGACTGATAGGTCCTAGGTTCGAATCTCGCGGAGGGGGCGCAATCGTGGATACGCACTACTGAGGAGTCTCATACCAGGACGAAACGGTCATTCAGTCTTTCCAAGTTTTCCATGGTGGCCTAGCTTCTATTGACTCATGATTTCAACCATTGAAATAATTAAATATTCATTCATATAAAACATTCAATGAAACTTACTCTTTTGGTTTACGATTAGATAGATTACTTGGAGACTTTTTACTTGCCATAAGAAACTATACTCTATTTTTATTTTATGAAATTATTCAAGAAGTTCAATAATAAGTTCCAAGAAAAAAAAGAAAATCTTCCACTATTCAACTTCTTCAATGTGAGTAAAAATAAGAAATGAATGAATAAAACAAAAAGATCAATTGTTTGTTTTGACCTAGACAGATATTGTTGTTACCATGGTAACCATAATCGATTTTCAAGGTCATTCGATAATTTAAAACAATTAGTCTGTAGGGCCAGTGAAATGTCACTGAGCCCTAGTCAAATCATCTGGCAGTTGGGTTATTGAATATCGAATAGATCATCGATCCATGTCAAGGTCAAAGACAACCAACGCATATCAGTTAATTATACGTAATGAACTAGCCCATGTGGTGGTGGTCTTACTTTCGTTTGTATCTACTTTAACTAATATATTTCTGTAATAACGTCTTTACATTAACACGGCGATACAATTGTCGATTCAAATCCCATAGTGATAGAGGTAATAAAAGTATAAGCAGTAATCGGAAAAATTAGGGTTTGGAGATGTTATTCAAGAGTATAAATCAGTAATACCAGGGTAGGTTAAGGGTAAGAACAAATTGCGTTTTGGAACACATAACAGAGGTTTCAGTTTCCATATAGCCAAGGCTTCAATAAACCTTAGTATACGCCCTTGAGGGAGGCAAAACTCGACTCACACGTTTTCATTGTGCCTCCTGGATAGTGGGACTCAGTCCCATGAGCTAACGTGAACGGTAACCCGGGCGGTAGAGATCGGACTAATCAATCGCTGGACCTACACCCACAAATAATCACAGCACAATTACTTCTGAATCGAAAAATGACAAAAAAATCATAAAAGTGCTGTATGGAATGTACGGAGTTGCTCCCTACAGGGCAAACTCCAACCGATTGCAAAAACAGCTATTCTAGCTCTTGTAGTTGTGTCGTGCTTATATGTGGCCTGTTTCTCTCCAGAAGGGCTACTAGGCTTCACCAACTTGTTTGACTGGAAGGGGGAATACACTCTTGAAGGCTTTTTTACAAATGCTGACTTGATATCAACCGTATGACCAGTTTCAAACAAATGTTTCATAATGGAGGAAGATGTCTATCTATCCTGTGATCTTATTTGACCATTGGAATTCATTTGTTTCTGAAGTCATTTGAGTATGTGCTCTACCACTCTTACTTGTAGATTACGATTGCTTCCCCCTATTTAAGTGTTTCGGCACACACATGTAAATTGACAGATATAATCGCTTACGTGCTATTTGGGTTTCTGGTGAAACATAAACAAGTTGAGTTTAACGGAACTATTAGCGGTATTGTATGTCGAAAAATTTCAAAATAGAAACATCCACTAGTCATCGTTTTACGGTATTTTCTTCCAATCATAAAACCCTTCTGTAATCATAATTGATTGGTCAGTGGATGGTAATCAATGTCATGTATGTCAAGTCCTGCTTAGTGCAGATCGAATGCTATTGACCAAGTTGCAATGTGGCCACAAGTCTAGGTGACTCGACATTACATGCAATATGTTGAGATTAGATGGTGGTTTTGAGGTAGTCAACAAGAAAACCTGGACCCGGGTTTCGTACTACTCGGCACTCTTCAGCAAAATGTACTTGTAATCTTGAAGGAACTGGTGCTCACTTCTGTATGATATTTCCATGAATAATCTAACTACTGAAACCTGAAATTTTGGGTTTTACAATATATCCCATACTAACTGAGGTTGAAATAGGTACTGTAAGATACTACCCAAATTCTGATGAATTTATCGTCTTAATAGTTGAATTAATGAGTCAATGTAAGCTAGATCATCATGGTAAACCTGGAAGCCTTGGATGGTAGCTTACATCGACTTATGAATTCAACTATTAAAATTACTACAATCTCCACAAACCTCATTCTGATAAAAATTTACCGCTATTGGCGAGATTATAATTAATGAGCGAACCAATCAGGTATAAGATAACAGATCTCGAATTTTGGCGCAAAATTCACCCATCCATTTAGATAAATAGAGTTTTGTCATTATAGCTTATGTCAGTTCGTGATGAAAACCCTAGCCTAACCATCAAATGTAAATCATAATCCTCACACAGGTTTATAACCCTCATTTGGCCCTGATTATTAGGTGGACACTCTCATGGTCTCTTTGGAGTGGCTCAATGGTCGTCCATAAATTATAGTCAACTTGAACTATAGTTTACTGCATTGAAGACTTTTTTGTGTATCTTCACACTACTTTAAAATTTGTTAGTAGGGTAACAATTTAAACAAAATTTCAAGTTTTTCACGAGGGCAGTGCAAATCACTTGGAAGTGTGCTCAGAAAGCTTAGTATCATGTTATGAAACTATATTTTATTCCAACCTATAGTATAGAGTAAATGGTGATTGATAAATGTCATGTCATGTGATATTAGAATATTTTATTCAATGAAAATATTTAATTTGTCCATATCTGTTTATCTTTGTCACAAATACAAAGCTCCACAACCCCTATACTGATAATTAACATATGCTCACTAGTGGCTAGCTTCGTGAGGGAATTCTCGGAGTTCTAGTGAGAGGCCGTGACCAGTGGAGCTAATCCGTGTCGGGTAGAGACAGGTATCTACCTCAGTACAATCGAAGATGGTCGCACAATTTCGTGGATTGGTTGAGGTTAGACATTAACATCACTGGATGCCGGCCATCTCACTGGTCTAGAAATTAAGCGTTCGCACGCGAGACTTAAGGCCTGGGTTCGAATCCCGCGAGCGGGATCGTGGATGCGCACTGCCACTGAGGAGACCCACAATAGGACGAAACGGTCGTCCAATGCTTCCAGGTTTACAACGGTGGTCTAACATCAATCAGTTCATGATCTCAATCAAAAACTTAACAATCTCCACAACCCTTATACTGACTAATACATTGTTTTATCGCTAAATTTCTCTGACTTATCCATTGCCTAGAGAGCGCATGATCAAAATCTTAATATTTGACATACATTTCACACTTGTTATGTATAAGCCAATGCAAGCCACTTCTTCAGAGAAATCTTTACTCAAGCCGAAGAGCATCTTAAGTACTCAACCAAACCGCCTAATGATCCTGTAGTACTAAAAAGACTCCAATTTAAATCGGTAATAGCAGTTTATGCTATTTTTAATAACCATCAAATGGATATTGAAAACATCGAAATAATACAAAACGGCTTTTCCAACTACAAAGAAAGGTGAGTAGCTGAAGCCTTTCATATATTGATTAATCCTACTACCCTAAATGGAAAAGAAGACTTCAGTATATATTCGACGTGAACCATCTATCCGAGTTACCATGTTTGATTCTATCCATCATTCATACCGTTATCGTACATACAAATTAAACTCTATCCATTCTCCCTAAAAAGCTCACATTTTTTCATTCTTTACTATACATACTTACTTACTTGATTACTTACGGCTGTTACTCCTCGTGAAGGAGCATAGGCCGTCTTTACTGTACATACATACTTACAAATATACAAACATGTCGCATATTAATCACATTGATTGAAATGATATAACATTGACTTGTTCAAACCTGGGTTTTTTTAATTGATCGTACATAATATTCTTACGTTGTTCTTTTGTACTATTTAAACTAGATTTGGTTATTCTAAGTAGTGGCTTACACTAAGTCATGAAACGTCTCAAAATCTAATAACTTAGTTTTTTAGAAGGGATTTTTGTGAATATTATAGTAATTTCATTGGTTGAGATCATGAGTCAATTGAAGCTAGATCATCATAGAAAACCTGGAAGCACTAGATGACCATTTCGTCCTATTGTGGGACTCCTCAGCGTTGCGCATCCTTGATCCCGCCTCACGAGATTCAAACCTAGGACCTGTCTGTTTTGCGCATGAATGCCTAACCACTAGACCATTGAGATGGCCGGCATCCAACGGTGTTAATGTCTAACTTCAAATAATCCACGAAGTTGAGCCACTGTCCACCATTGTCATCAGTGAGTTACTATCTCACAACAGACCTGGTTGAACTGCACTGGTCACTGCTTCTCACTCTAGAACTTCAGGAAATACCTATTGGAGACCATCACTTATGAGCATATGAGCATTATAATCAGAGAAGGATTTTGTGGATATTATAGTAATTTAATGGTTGAATTCATGAATTAATTGAAGCTAGACCATCATGTGAAACCCGGAAGCAATTTTGTTTTATTAACTAAGCTTTACTCATCAGTTTCTTATTAGCATTTACTCATTATGTAATCACTTGATTTTGACCCTTTGAACTTTCGTTACAATCAATGTTGTAGAATATTCTTTTACATAAGGTATATATATTTACAATATTGAGTATTTTTAAACACTTTTACACTCTTACTATACTATACTAATATGTCTTCAGTATAACTTCCAACTAAACCATCTCATATGAGTCATTTATACCCATTATGTAATTATGATGTTTAAGTATCATACGATGTAAGCAATGAGATATCAACTCACTGAAGACAATGGTGTACGGTGGCGCAACTTCGGGGATTGGTTGAGGTTAGACATTAACACCGTTGGATGCCGGCCATCTCAGTGGTCTAGTTGGTTAAGTGCCTGGTGCGAGACTGATAAGTCCTGGGTTCGAATCTCGCGAGGGGCGCGACCGTAGTGAGCACTGCTGAGGAGTCCCATACTAGGACGAGACGGCCGTCCAGTTCTTCCAGGTTCTCCATGGTGGTCTTGCTTCAATTGACTGATGATTACACGGAATACACTACATGAATTTCAATCATTATTTTCTCTATTAGAGAATAATGTTTTCTTTTGTCATTAATGTGATATTAGTAAAGAAAACTATTGAAAATTAGAAAATAGTGACTGACAGTTTTCTTTCAGCTTCAATATTATTCAATACTGAATTGAACGTGGAATATATACAGTCTGTTCAACTAGTCAGTCAGTCAGTCAGCAACAACGTAGAACTTAATACGTACGCACGTACGTACAGACATCAGTTCCAGTTACCATATCACATTACCACACACATACAATTGTCCATTCAAATTTCATACTAGTAGACGTCGTAAAAGTATAAGCAATAATCAGAAACACTAAGGTTTGGAGATGTTATTCAAGAATTATAATCCAGTGAAATAAATTTCTAA